GTAATTACATTTGCCATGGGGAGTTGGTAAACATATAACACATCTTAATTCTTTTTATTTTCTCTTGCTCTTTGTACCCCACATAATTTACAGTTACATTATTTTAGGTGTCTTGTCAAGGCATGCAGTAAATAATGAGTAAAGATTTGTTACTTGGCCTTACCATTCTACATCTTCTTGCTCAAGAGTAAAGTAATCCCACATTTACTTACAGTTCAATATTACTTCATGGAAATACAGTAAATGTATATAGCTTTGGGGTTTAATAGTATTTTCTTGAAACATCTACAATTATAAAAGTTATACTGGATCAAATCGTGTCTTGTAGAAATCAGTTTTATAAAATCATTTACTGAAATATACTCCAGTTTTTTTGAGTAAAGATACTACAGATATATCCTAGAAAATATGAAAAATTATTAGAGTTTCAAATTTGTGCCACCCTGAGGTACACTGTAAATCTTTGGGTGTGTATACTTTGTGTCTATAGTATACATATGTGTGTATGTGTACACATACGTACACACACATTCAGGCAATATGATTTGTTCCCAGTACTTTTTCAGGGTAGTGATACAGTAGTCAAGAAAATAGATAAAACTTTTAATGATCCTTCAGTTGGTGGTGAGAGGACCAGATGACAACAATAAACTGTATGGCATATCAGGTATGTGCAGTGAAAAAATGGAGCAGGGAAGGGTGATGAAATATAGGAAAGATTGATACGTTTTTACTTTTAGACTTTTCTACATATGGATATGTTCAGTTGTCTTTTTTTAAATTGCCAGTTACGATGGTACATAACAGTAATCCTAAAATTCTGGAAGGGCAACCTTAGCAAGTCTCTGTCTCAGAATAAAACATGAGAAAAAGTATTGGGGATGTAGCTCAGTGTGAAGGTCCCTGGTTCAATCCTAAGTACCAAAATAAATTATTTATTATTATTATTATTATTACATCCCAAACATAAGATTTCAGTTGTCTTTCTTATTTATTCACTTAATACATTTTCATGCAATTATTATTCTTAACTCTATAAAGCCTCATATATCCCATTTTTGTAATATGGTCATACTGCAATCAGGGTGCTCTTTTAGAACCTTTCAACTCCTTATGTGCTTTGAAAAAGAGAGCCCCTGGACACAACCCCTAAGCCTGCTTGTCTGGTGCTTCACTGCAGCACGAGTGCACTTGCCCCTGCACCCCAGCCTCCAGCCACTCTGTCCTGCTGGTTGGTCTCTTCCCTTTCTCACTTCTTTTTTGTACTTGGGGAATGAGTAAATGGCAATGGTTTAAGGTTGTCATTATCCTTGTTGTTGAGGAATAATGAGTTCTTTTTTAAGAAAAAAAAATTTAACCAGTGTATATCAGAATGTATTTGCTGTATAATCCATAATTTTGTACCCTTGTACCATTTGTCCTTTTATCATGCAATATTTCTAATTTGTAAATTTGAAAGAGTACAATGAGCAACTGTACACCTTCAACCCCCATTCTACAATTGTTAATGTGTTTGGGTTTTTTTCTTATTTTTTGAACCCTGTTTTTTGGTTGTTTCTGTTTGATGTACTGAGGATTGAACCCGAAGGCCTCATACATGCCAGGCAAGCACAATACTCTAGCACTGAGCTACATCCTAGCCCTTCTTTAATTTTAAAGCAGTGTCTTGCTAAGTTCCCCAAGCTGGCCTTAAACTTGCGGCCCTCCTCTCTGAGCCTCCTTAATGGGATTATAGAAGCCAACTGAATCTGCACCCAACTGAATCTGCTTTTATGATTGAATTATTAGGTTTGTTACATGTATTTTGATGCTTCACTGCTAAATACCAGGTATGAGGGGGGTCATTTTCTCCACTACTACAACCTTGTGTAAAATGTTTTCACAACAATGACAAAAAAAGATTTTAAAAGCATTATAGTTACTGTAATAAAATTTTATTACATAGTTATGAAAATGCATATTAACATAATTGAAAATTCTTTCTACAGACCACTGTTTATACAAGAGACTATAAATGATCACTGCGCATATAAAAATTCTTCAGCTTTTCTAATAAGGAAAAGTAACCATTGGCTGCAGTTTTGTCTCAGTTACTCTTCTCTTATTGCTGGGACACATACCTGACACCCAAGATGAAGGAAGGAAATAAGCTCATAGTTCACTGGAGGTTTCAGTCCATATTCAGCTTGGTCCAAAGCAGACTGGTACATGGCAGAGGGCAGCAGTCCATGGCAAGCAGAAGGCAGCAAAACAGCAAGAGCAAAAGGGAGGAGTAATAGCAACAATGGCAAGAGAGAGCAAGTCTGTCTCCCTTATGTTGCATTCATGCTATCTGCCCCAGGCTATGTGTAGCACTTACACATAATCCCAGCAGCACTTACACCTATAATCCCAGTGGATCATGAATTAATCACAAAGTCTAAAAGTCTGCCCCATGAATGTATGAGGCTTTGAGGGAACAACTGGACACAAACCATAACACATGCATTTGGATATTTACTATGTTTTAGGCATTTTATCTTCGCAGACCCATATAGTGGACACATAACACACATATACACACAATAAACTGTTGCTGGGATAGTATACATAATTTATCTCTTGTCCCAAAAACCTAGTAGTCTCTGGAACTATCATTCAAACCCAGAGATTGCCATTTACAAAATCTTATGTTCTTCACCACCACTATACTCTATTGCCTGTAAAAAATCAGTGTACCTTAAGGTTCCTTTAAATTACTATGGTTCATCTGCAAAAGTAACAAGTCCAGGAGAATTCTGATGAGGTAATATGAAGGCTACCTTGTTTAAAACTTAAGTATTTGCTGGGGGTGGGGGCTGTGCTTAGAGGTAGTCATAGCCAGGCCTGGTCGTGCACCCCTGTACTCAGGAGCCTGAGGCAGGAGGATTGCTGTGAGTTTGAGACCAGCCTGGGCTACATAAGTGAATTCAAGGCCATCCTGCACTACATAGTGAGACCCTGCCCCCTCAAAAAAATTCTGTTACAGAGGGGATTTATTATATACTAAAAACATAATTTTAATAAGGTAGAAATTGATTTAGTGGGTTGTTCACTAGGACCAAAAAAAAAAAATGATAAATGCCTTTATATACAAAGCATGAAATATGGATGTAAAAATAACTTACAAGAGAAATCTGATGTGGGTGAAATATTTCATTTTGATGTTTAGGTGGGCTATATATGAAGTACTTTTTTCTTGTCCAACCAGCTTTAGTACTCACCTACAGTCACCTCTCACTTGCACCAAATGGCAAACCTAAGACTATAAACAAAATTTGTTCTGTTCAGAGGTATCATTACCAACAGTAGAAGGACTGATTTGCAAGAGGATCCAAAAGATAAACCATATTTTTCGCAGTCACCTATGCACTGAAATGGTAAAAGTTTTTGAATTTTTGGTGGCATTTGGAGAGGAGGCTATGCGTTAGACTGTTTCCAGGGGTTTTCTTCATGTAAATCTGTGTCTATACAATTACAAGTTATAATCTTGCTATTCAGTGGGATGCACTACAGTTACTATGAATAATATAGAAGTATCAGTATGGAAAGCTCTATACAGCTATCAAGTGAACTAAAGTTAGGTTTAAAATTCTGTATGCTGCATATTTGTGCATGTGTGTGTGTGTATCCCCTGCTGCACTGTGTAGCGATGGATCATGTATGTATATACATTGAGATAGATTGATTAAGATATTTGGAAAAATGTTTTTTTTTACAGGAGCTACCTATGAGGACTACGACTTTTCACACTGTTTTAGTGTTCAATCTGGTGTATGTGTGTATGTGTAGTCATTACTTATGTGTGTATATATCATTTGTATGATCTAAGTTTCATAAAGCATATCCCAAAATTTAATAATTTACCTGAGTGAGAATAATACTTTTTACAGTATCACATACCTTTCTAGTTGTCTGGTTTGTAAATAAACCAAAGTTTGAGTACCTGTTTTACCAGACATTTTACTCACATCTGTCTTAATTTCCAACCAACTCTGTAGAGTGCATATTTGTTCTTATTGGGCAGAAACCAATTTAGAAGATTTTAAAATTTCTTGTGTGAAGTCACAAATTGAGCCCTCAATTGGGTTCTCATCCAGTCTGAGTCTAGAGAATGTGTTCAGTCCTGTACTCACTGCTGTCTAGAAAGGACTCTGAAAATACCTGAGAAAGATTAGTACTATCTGGGTGTGGAAGCAACTCATGTAATCCCAGCATGGTAGGAGTCTGAGGCAGGATTGCAAGTTTGAGGCCCACCTGGTCAATTTTAACTAGGCCCTGTCTCAAAAATAAAATGAGTTAGGGATGTAGCTCTAGATTTGATCCCTTGCACTGGGGTGGGGGTTGGGCAATCCAGATTTGAGCCTGTGTCAGTTTCATAAAATAAAAATTTAGATGATAATAATCTCTTTGTTTAGAAAAATCCTTTCTAAATTTACAAAGCACTATATGAGTAGGAGATTTGATCAATAAAACATGTTACTTTACTCATAGCCTTTTTTCTTATATTCAGATGTTTGAAATTTTTCTTGAAGTAACATCTATAAAATGCAAGTTTTAACAGTAACAGTTTTGAATATATTTGTGTAACTCATTTGGTGTAGTACCTTGTAAAGAAAGATATAATTTTAGGAGAATCTTGTTTCTAAGAAAGTCTTACTTTAACTTCAAGTTACATACATATATTTGATTTTGAGTTAGGGTCTGGCTATGTAGTCCACATTGGCCTTGTTTTCACTGTGTAACCCTGGCTGGTTGCAAACTGAGCTTCTTGCCTGAGCTTCTTGAGTGCTGGGATTGCAGGTTTGTGCCACCACACCCAGCTTACTCAAAATATTTTTTTTTTTTTTTACTAATTATATTGTTAACAGCATCCTTTCAAGATTTGCTATTAAAATACAAATGAGCAAATTCCTATTTGTGAGGATGTGCATTCTGTAAACTAATTTTAAAATAAACTTTTATATTTTCCCTCTCTATAGGAACATCATCTTCAGCGGGCTATTTCAGCACAGCAGGTATATGGAGAGAAGAGGGATAATATGGTTATACCAGTCCCAGAGGCAGAAAGTAACATTGCTTACTATGAATCTATATATCCTGGGGAATTTAAGATGCCAAAGCAGCTCATTCACATACAGCGTAAGTAATTGTTCTTTCAATGATTGTATTTTCTATATTTGTCTTTTCATGTGAACTGATACCTGTTTTATTAGTGAACATCAGCATACAAGTTATTAGAGCCCAATTTCTGTTGTTTTGTTGTGGAACCAGGGGTTGAACTCAGGCCCTTGCACTTGTGCTGAGCTATCTCCCCAGCCCCAATTTCTGCTTTTTAAAAATTGTTTAGGCTGTGGAGATAACTCAGTGGTCTAAGCACTTGCCTGGCAAAGCCAAGGACTCAAGTTTGATCCCTGGTACCGCATGCCACGCCAGCCCCAGAACCCCAGGTGTGATGTGCTGGCCACCAAAACCAGGCATTTTGATGCATGCCTATAATCCCAGGGTTAGGGAGGCTGAGACAAGAGGATCACTACAACTCTGAACTGTGTAGCAAGACCCTATATCAAATAAATAAATTTTAAAGAAAAAGAAATGCTGTACAGCTCAGTGATAGAGCCTGTGCTTTGCATGCCCAAGTCCCTGGGTTTCCAGCTGCATGTGTGTGTGCACACGGATACACGTACACACACACACACACACACACACACACACACAACGGAGGGAGAGGGCAAAAGGGAAGTGGAGTAGGGCGAAGGGAAAGGGAGACTCTTTAAACAGATTTTATGTTAGGACCTGAAAGATTATTCTTTGGAAAACCATGTCACTATGGATCTAAAAGTTACAGATCTAGTCCTCTTTGTATTTGTTAGCATCACATTCTACTCCACTGCCACACACAGTTACCTTTTTTTTTTTTTTTTTTTTTCAATATTAGTGTACGCTTGCAATACACAATAGTGTTTACTCTTGAGGAATTGGTTCATGTATATAACAAGTTTTGGTAATTTCCTATCCTATTACCTCCCTCTCCCTCATCTCCAAGACTATTTTCTAGTTTCCTGTCATAGCCACCTTATTTATAGTCTACATTTCTCATATAAGAGAAACTATGTGATATTTATTTTTACTTTTAATGTGTTTACTACAGGGTCTCACTACACAGATCGTACTCATAGTGATCCTCCTGTTCTAAGCCTTCCAGGTACTGGGATTACAGGCACATGCCACCATGACCTGTAATCCACTGAGCTATCTGGCCGGCCCACCATGTGATATTTAACTTTCTGTGTTTATTTCACTTAGTATGATGGCCTCATGTTCCATCCATTTTCCTATAAATGACATATTTTCATTCATTATGATTGCGTAATACTGCTTTGTGTACATATACCACATTTTATCAATTTATCTTTTGAGGGGATTTTTCCAGAACTTAGCTATTGTGAATTCTGCTATAAACATATGTATGCATTTATCACCGTATCATGATGTCTTTTTTTCCAGGAATGTATCTAGAAAAGGTGTAGAAGGGGAATATATCTAGAAAAGGTGCAGATTGGTAAAATGAAATTTTTTTGTTTTAGCTTTTTTGAGAAAACCTACCAGTTATCTGTCCAGTTTTTAATTGGGTCATTTGATTGTTGAGGGTCAGGAATTTTTATTTTGGGTTTTTAAGGTTTTTGTGTTTTCTAGATATTAGTCCTCTGTCCAAAAAGTAGGTAATAAAAAATTTTGCCCATACTGTAGGTCTTTTTCATTTTTTTGTTTCTATTGTTGTACATAAGCTTTTAAATATGATATAATTCTATATGTTTATTTAATATTATTTCCTGTGCTTATGACTTCAGGTCTTTTCCTTATGTTATCTTCTAACAGCTTCAAGGTTTCCTTTTTTTTAATTTAATCCAAGTCTTTGATCCATTTTAATTTGGTTTTAGTACAGTGTAAGGGATGGGGATCTGTCTCTTTGTCTTTGCTGTGTAGTTCAGACTTACCTTGAACTCAGTTTATAGTCCCAGCTGGCCTTGAAGTCACAGCAGTCCTCCTGTCTCAGCTTCCCAAGATCTGGGATTATAGGTGTGTGCCATTACACCCAGTTCTTTGTCCTTCATTCTGATGCGTTGGTCTACATGTTTGTATTTGGACCAATACCGTCTTGTTTTTGTTACCACAGCTTTATACTATAACTTGAAATCCTGTATTGGGATGTATCCAGTTTTGTGTTTTGGGTAGATTGGGTCTGTTTTCATACTTTTTTCTAGCTCAGCAAAGAATGTTGTTGGTATTTCAATAGGAGTGGTATCACATAGATCATGTGGGTAAAAAATGCCCATTTTAACAACATTTCTGCTGATCCAAGAACAAGTGATGTCTCTTGATTTTCTAATACCTGCTTTAATTTTTTTCTTAAGAATTCTATGATTTTCATTATAGTGGTGTTTTTCTTGGTTGATTTCTAGGTGTTTAATTTTTTTTTCTTGAGTTAACTGAATGGAATTGGTTTCTTGGCTTTTCCTTTCATGGGTTCATTATTAGTGTATAGGAACACAGTTGATTTTTGTGTGTTGATTTTTTTGTATCCTGACCAGCTATATTGTCTTACAAATACATGTTTTTTAGTTTAAAGCAAGATGGAGTAGGAAAAAGTACATTAATCAGTTTACATTATCATTATTGTCAGAAAAAACTTGCATTTCATTTAGATGTGGCTTACCACAGTACACATTTTACTACTATCTCTAGTGAGTTAGATGTCCAGAAAGTCAAAAGGTAGTATACTGAAAAAGATGTCGTAATCATAGTAATAAAGTGGCCACAGAATTGTAGTTTATTTGGGAGGAAAAGAATATTAGTGACTGCAGATTTGAGACATCTTTAGAAAGATGTATACATTTTGGATTATTAGTAAAGACAGTGCACTTAAGTTTGTGGTATAGATTCATAGGAGGTTGCAAAAGTATTGTACTTTACATTTATTCCAATCTCTTTCACTGACCTCACACAGAACTATAAATTCAAAAACAAAAAACTGACGTGGGCTACAATCCGGAGTTTTTTGATTGCAGTAGTTGTAGAAATATTTGTGCACTTGGCATTTCTTTACAAGTTTTTCATACGGATAGAAAAACTATAATGAAGATACTTGACTGTACCATCACTGGAAGATTCTCTGTTCTTACTGCTTTATAGCTATATCCATCCCCTCTCCCCATCGCTCAGTGACTTGCAAATACCAGACTGTATAATTTTATTGGTTTACAGATGTTACATGAATGGTATCATGTAGTATATTACCACTTTTGAGATTGACTTTTCTTTCAACTTAATGTCCTTGAGGTTCCTCCTTACTACATATATCAATAATGTATTCCTTTTTGCTGTCAGGTAGTATATTAGGATGTGTACATGCCACAGATTTTGGATGACATTTGAGTAGCTTCTGTTTTTAAACTATTAGAAATAGAAACATTAGAAAGATTTCTATATAAGTTGTGTGAATATATGCTTTCATTTCTCTGGCGTCAGTACTTACGAGTTGCTGAGTCATCCATTTATACTTTGGACAGTAACTGCTGCACAATTTGTCATTAAGTGGGTCGTGTAATTCAATTTTTTCATATTTTCTCCAGCATTTGCAGTTAGTTTATCGTAGTCTTAGTAAAATAATCAGGCATATTTTTTCCCTAATTTCTAATGTATTGTTTGTTTTACTCTTTGAGTTTAGAGGACATAGAGGGGTGTGTGTGTGTGTGTGTGTGTGTGTGTGTATTTAGTCTAAGAAACATTTGGAGTTCTTTTTATTTTATGAAAAAATAGATCTTTATAACCAAATGAGAATAACAATAGTTAGTAGTCTATATCATTATCTTCAAAATAATTGCTCAGTACAAGACATAAAACCAAGAAGATTCTTACCAAAAAAATACAAATTTTATTTTCAGTAAACTATGATAAACTTAATATAGGGCCGGGGAGATAGTTCAGAAGAACGAGTGCTTGCCTGACAAGCACAGGGTCCTAAGTTCAATCCCCGGTACCATGAAAAACAAAACCAACTTAATATAAATGAAACAAATTAGCAGATATTTTGAGATAGTTTTAAAACCATTAAATCCATAATTTGAGGAATTATTTGAATTTCTCTAGCATTTTTAGATTCTTTTGAGTTTTTATTATGTTAGTCATGCTGTTGTTTGCAAATATAGGCTAATTTTCTTTCCTAATCTGGATGCCTTTAATTTTTTTCTTGCCTTATGATAGTGACTTGATCTTATTATGTTAAAATAAGAATAGCCAAAGAAGCTAGCACCTTTGCCTTGTTCCTAATCTTAGAGTAAGAATTCAGTTTGGTATTATTATTATTACTACCACCAAGTATGAGGTTAGCTATAGATTTTAGGTTATTATGAGATTTAAGAAGTTCACTCTAGTCCTAATGCACTGAAAATTTTTTTCATAAATACTCATTTTGTAACAATTAGTAACCTGTACTTCTTTCCTTTTCAATCTGTTCATGTGGCAGTTTACAGTGACTGATTCCAAATAATGAACCAGCTTTGTATACTTAGAATAGATCTCACTTAGCAGAATACATATTTTATACAGTGCTGGAGTTTTTGCTTAACATTTATAAAAGATGTGAGTAATAACTCTTGCTTATCTGTCATGTCTGTTTGGCTATCATTAAAATACTATAAAACAAGTGAGAATTCTTCCCTCTTTTCTGTAAGAAATTATGTAAAATTCATATTCTATAAAAATTGGTATTGACTTTTAATATAATAAATGAAGAAAACCTAATAATAATGTAAATTTTTCCAAAGATAAGATTGGATCTTGACTACTAGATGATCCAGTAAGTTTCTTATGAAAGGTACATTGCCTTGGATTCTTTAGTAACTCTGCAGTTACATGTATTTGCATGATATATATTTATATTATGTATAATTCTTCAGAAATTATATAAACACAATGAAGGAAGGAAGGAACTTGATAAATACTTAAAATTCCAGATGTTGCACAAATGTTTACTTGGAGTTTTTTAATTGTTAATTAGTATTCCCTGGAAAGCGGTGGTCAAATTTGTTTGAGAATTTGCTTATTCTCTTCCCCACTCCTAGAGTCATAATATATACTAATATGTTTGTAGGCTGTATTGCTCTTACATTAAATATTTAACTGACTTTAATCCACCTTTTCCCAGTGTATTGCTTAAATCTATTAACATTTCACCAACTGTTGGGAAATTCTGCCACCATTCCTGCCCTCCCATGGCTTAGGAAAAAAAAAAATCAAAATTTTTTCAGACCTCTACAGGAAAATATCCATATTAAAGCCACTGTCCCCTTTAGTTCCTTGCTGTAAGGACCTTCTGTTTCTTAATGTTGTTTCTCTTTTCAGTGGTAATCTGTGAGGCTTCTAGATTACATGAATAGGATTTTTTTTTTTTTTTTATGGTAAAACATATTTGCTTAGAATAGTCATGAACAATTTTTTAAAAAATATATTTTGTATAGGGTCTCACTGTACAGCTCAGACTTGTAGTGATCTTCCTGTTTTTAGCCTCTCAGCACTGAGGTTACAGGTATGTGCCACCGTGCCTGGACTAGGTCACCAGCTCACTGTGCCCAGGGACAGGGCCAGCACAGAATATGTGGTGCCGGAAGTTGAACTCTAGTCCCTGTGCTTGCCTAAGCAGGCACTTCTTCCACTGAGCTGTCTTGCTGACCCAGCAGTTCTTTTCTTTCTCTCCCGTCTTTGCACTTGAATTCACAGAAACCTTTATTAAAGGACATTCAAGGGGCTGGAGAGATGGCTCAGTGGTCTAAAGCACCTATTTAGAACAAGCTTAGCAAAGCATCAGGGACCGCGGTTCAATCCCCCAGCACCACATGCCAGCCAGCCCCGCCCCCTGGTGGGCTGAGCTGGCCACACACACCTCCCTCTCTCTCTCTCTCTCTCTCTCTCAAATAAATAAAAATTATAAAAAAAAATAAAGGGCATTCAAGGATGCGTATTTTATATGCATATATGTGGATGGAGATAGGTAAATTTTTTGTGGTTCTGTCTTTTTGAAGGAAGTATATTTAGTACCAGTAAATATACTTAGGACCTGTTCTCTAAATCTGTATCCTACTAAATAAAACCAAGAACGCTTGGGAAAGTCCAGAGCTGAGATTTAAGGTAGATGAAGATGACCCTAGATGGTGTACTAATGCCAGATAATAAATGCTTTAAATAGGGGTAGGGTGGTGGGAATCACAAAGATAGAGATTTTTCTTGGCTGATTCTGGAACAGTTGGAGTAATTCACTGAAAAAAATAAAACTCCATAAACCCATAATGGCAATAAATAGGGTAGAAGAGCCATGTCGTGCTTACAGTAGAATGCCAAGAGTGGAATGATACAATGTAGAAAGAATGTTAAGAGTTAATCATTTTTTCAATTAAGATCAAGATGGAACCACACAAGAATCATCAGTGTATTCTGTATGCTTTATAACCTAGTCTCTCCTCTTTAGTACAAGATCAGTCTAGGATCAGGATTACTTTTTTAGTAGTGGTCTTTTTATTTTATTTATTTGTTTTATTTTTTAAAATGTATTTGGTTGTTTCAGGGTATCACTACACAGCTTGGACTCATGGTGATCCTCCAGCTTTTAGCCTCCCCAATGCTGGGATTATAGGCGTGTGCCACTATGCCTGTACTCTAGCTGGCTCAGCCTGCCCTTGGGGCGGGGCTGGCACGGCATGTGGTGCTGGGGATGGAACCATGGTCCTTACACTTGCCTAAGCTTGCCTCAGCTGGCACTTTAGTCTGCTGAGCTATCTTACCAGCCCAGAAATGGTCTTTTTAATATTCTTTAGTCTGGACCATTTCTGATGTCTTTCCCTTTTACAATAATTGACAAGTTAGGTCTAATTTTAGTTGACAGAATTTGATTAGAAATGACTTTGTTTTATTTTGATAGGGGTGGGTGGTGTTAGACTTATTTTCTACTTTGAACATATTTAGTAATAGGACTCAAAATTCTGAAGCAAAACTCATATTTCTGGGACTGTGATAAATACTGCCATGTCTTCATTGGCCTTGATTGACTTGTCAGTTAGAAGCCATAGATTCATCTGATGCTAAATTATATTAAGGTCATTGGCTGCAGTTTTTTTGTCAGATGAAATCCTAGAGTAGAGTATTACATGTCTGCACTGTTGTAGAGGTATGATATTTTTGTATCTGAACAAGTCCCCTGATATTTAAGATTTTAAATGTGTTTCTACAGTCAAAGAAACTCCTCTTATACATACTAGTGGACTTCGTCAGATCCTTGTTAACTTCAGTGGAAAAGACACTGGACTCCTTGATCATATGATAGGAATCTTTCTTTTCAGTCTTGATTACTTTCCTCAGGTTGGATGTGGTGTGTATCATTGATGATACAGTGTATAACAGAAATATGATAAGTATATGTTCATGGAAAAATAAAGGATAAAGTAACTTGATAAAGGTGTTCAGTTTTTATGAACTGTGTGTGATTATGGCTTGACATAATTTAAATAATTTATAAAAATAAATTTAGTACTGGAGAAGGCCATGTAGTGTATAATTGAATTCCTAAAAGTATGTAACACAGAACCTTAAGAAAGGATAGCATTGACTGCCCCTTTTGGTTTGGCTTTCAGGATTATCTGTATCAGTTCTGCCTAATAGAATTTTGTACAATGATGAAATACTCTGTAATCTGTGCTGTCTGGTATAGTTACTAGCAGTATATATGTATTTAGCACTTGAATGTAGGTCATGTAACTGAGAGAATTGAGGGTTTTGTTTTGTTTTATTTTGTTGTCAGTGAGGATTGAGCCCAGGCAGGGCCTTTGCAAGATTGCATCACCAGCCCTGTTTTACTTTTTGTTTAGAAACACAAGGTTTCACTAGGTGGATAGATTTGCTCAGGCTGGGCTGGAACTTGTGACTCTCCTGCCTTAGCTTCCCAGAGTGCTGAGATTATAGGCATGCACCACTACTACACCTAGCAGAGAGACTGAATTTTAAATTTTTATTTAATGCAGTTTAATTAGCCACACATAGCAAGTTGTACTGCACTGAACGACATACGTGTGATTGAATTTGGTCAGGAGCAACCACCACCAACAAAAAAATCAAGTGTTTTTAATCTAACAGTTTTGATCCAGTTCTAGATCTTCAAAAACCTGTTCGTGTATCAGTGACATACAAAATACAAGCATGAAAAAAAAATACAATCATGAAAAATTATTGACGGGCCTTTTGTTGCTCTAACATCTAGAGATTATTGAAGGGTCTGAATATTCATTTGTTTTAATTAGGAATGTTACAGAACTGCTACAGGTCAAAATAGAAAATGAAGCAATAAATTTAATTCTACAAATACAGGATTCTTCTCCACTAGGGCAATTACTGCGTTAAGGTTGACAGTTACTCTGCAGCCAGTTTCCTCTTACAGCTGTTACAGACTTCACTATTGAGTGACTGGTTGATTGGGTTGGTTTGTTTGCAGTTTTTTCTCACCTCAAAAACCATGCATAACATTAGAATAATTTTCAGTTGAGTATAGCAAGCAGTGGTGACAGAGAAAAGATGTCACCCTTTCTACACTTGGCGATGTGGAGATAAGTAAGACATAGGCCTCCCCTCAAGGGTATTAGTCAACATAGTGGGAGACATTCTTTAACTAGTAGATTGTGAAGTGTGCAGAAAATAATATGGAGAGAGTGAGTGGTCTAGAACAAGCTTTTTAACCTTTGGGCTACAAACTTTTAGGTCATGTTTGAATGGCATGTTGTTTACCAGTTTTGTGGGGAGAGGGCTCATAGTTACTAAAAAAGGAAAAGAGACTCGGAACCATTTATTAGGTAAGAGACAGTCAAGAAAGGACTGTAGAAAAGATAGGTCAGAAAAAAAAAAAAGAAAGAAAAGAAAAGATAGGTCAGGTGCATAAAAAAGATTAAATAGGCATTTGCTGATTGGGCAGGTAGAAAATAGCTAATGTAAAGACCTGAAATCATGAAAAAACATGCTATGTGAAATAATATGAAATATGATGTTATTGGATCATCAAGTAACACTAGAAAGGCTAGGTAGAAAAGATCTCATAAGCAGTTAGTTGCTAGGCTTAGTAGAAGGAGAAAGTTAGGAGAAAAGTTTTGATATCATACTGTTTGGTATTTTGATTTTTTTTTCTATAATTCATTCTTATAATAGCCTCTCATTTACTGCAAATATATTTTCAGTTTTAGAAACATCAGGCCTGTAATTATTACTTTGTTTTCTTTCTTTAATATTTTGCTTTTTATATGAGCATCAGCATAGCTTGATCTCTTATTCTATCAGTAAAACAAATCTTGCCAGGAATCTGCTGAGTGACAGCTGTTAATGTAAAACTGAAATTGCTTGATCTGAGTTTAGAACTACAAATATGGAACATTGGCATCTGGTTCAGCTAATACACTTATCTCTTCATGTTCTTAGTATCATGTTCTTAGTATCATGCTTCTACTTTATTGGCCTTTAGGAGTGTGTGGAAGGGGTCTCATCTGTTGTCTCTTACTAATTTATATTCCTAGTAAAGATAATCTTTTTAAGTGTGGAAGACATAGCTGTAACTTAGATTGTGGTTGAAACCAAAATCAAAAAATCTTCAGAAAGTTCTTTCTTTTATTCAGACATCTTTGAGGTGTTTTTGTTTTGTTTTGTTTTTAATTAGTGAATTTGCACAGTACATGACTGCTTGTGGTTTCTTCTGTCAGCTTTTAGTTTGGATGCTGAACAGCCTGATTATGATTTGGATTCTGAAGATGAAGTGTTTGTGAATAAACTGAAAAAGAAAATGGACATCTGTCCATTACAGTTTGAGGAAATGATTGATCGTCTGGAAAAAGGCAGTGGTCAGCAGGTATAATTTATATAGTGTCTGTATCAGTATTTCTATTTATGAAAACTTAATATTCAAGGAGGCTAAGCAAGCGACTTTGGAGTTGAAAAACATGGACTCACATCTTACTGCTATCTCTTACAACCTTTACAATCTTAAATAGTATGTTTAATTTTCTGCTTCAGTTTTCCCAGATGTAAAATATAAATGATAAACGTAGGATTATTATGACAACTAAATTAAATACTGTGTTAAAGCTTCTAGTTTAGTTACTGACATGTATAAAGTACTGTATATAAGTTTGTTATTTGTTAGTACTACTGTAGTTTTGATTATGGTAGTTTTATTTGGAATACTTTTGACCCCTATATATGTATTATGTGAAAATGACATAATATTTTACATTTAGCCAGTCAGTCTTCAAGAAGCCAAATTGCTACTAAAAGAAGATGATGAATTAATTAGAGAAGTTTATGAATACTGGATTAAAAAGAGAAAAACCTGTCGAGGGCCATCTCTTATTCCATTAGTAAAACAAGAGAAGCGAGATGGTTCCAGCACAAATGATCCTTATGTGGCTTTTAGAAGACGCACTGAAAAAATGCAGACTCGAAAGGTAAGTGAATTTGTTCATTTAAATTTTTTTTCTATTTTAAAGCTATTTACAGTCAATATCTTAATTCTTTGATTTATGTTGTAAACAGCCTTTCACTTACAAGGAAAAATACTAAAATAAGCTTACCTTAAAATTTGTTATGGAGTCAGTAACAATATATTTTAATGATTACTTAAAATCATATATGAAATTTGATTTCCTGATGATTTATATTCTGTTCCAGTGTAACTCTGCTTATAGCACTATTGCTTAGAAGTGCTTATCAGTACTAAGTAAGCGACTTTGTATCTGCAGAATCGCAAAAATGATGAAGCCTCTTACGAAAAAATGCTTAAGCTTCGTCGAGATCTAAGTCGGGCTGTTACTATTCTAGAGATGATAAAAAGAAGAGAAAAGAGTAAAAGGGAGTTACTGCATTTAACACTGGAGATTATGGAAAAGAGGTAAAGTATATTTTAATAGTACCGGTAATGTTTGCATACTGAGTTAATTTGCTTCCTGAGCATTTATAATTACAGAAATATCTTCATTTAATAACTATAACAGACTAAGTGTGTATTAATATAAGTTAGATAATATTACATGCATTCCTGTACTTATTTGCTTTAAAAGTGATTGGGCTCACTAATGATACAATAAGTCAGGTATTTCAATTTTCATTTGTTCTTACTGGTGGTGTGTACAGGGCTGTGAAAAAATATCCATCATTTCTGAAGTTCACATTTTATTCACTAGATATTAGATAGTCATATTCTTCCCCACATTGGGAATTGAACCAGGGGCATTCTGCCACTGAGCTTCATCCCCAGCCCTTGTTAATTTTTGACAATCTCACTTAAATTACCCAGGCAATAACTTGAATTTATGATCCTCCTGCTTCAGCCTTCAAAGTAACAGGGATTATAGCCATAATGCCAATACATCCTGGAAGAGTAGGTTTTGTAAAAGAAAAATATAAGTGCTGGGGAGATAGTTCTGTGGAATAAGTGCTTGCCTGGTAAGCGCAAGAGGTCCTGAGTTCAATCCCAGGTACCACAAAAAAAAAAAAAAAAACCTAAGTACAAAAGAGAGAAGAAAAGGCCCATACATCTTAACACTCAGTCAGCAGTATACACAGTGAAAACTTAAAGCCTAACTGCCCTACATCTGTGAGTACTATCCACTAAGAAAATCACTATTAAATGTTACGTGATTCCTGTCAGAAAAATTAGTTTTATAATTCAGACAATTCTAATCAGGAGAAAATTGTATGCATTGCTTTAGGCATTAATTCCAACTTCACGAAGTTTGTCATCAAAATTACAAAAGTAAAAGTTTGGTTTTCAGTCCCCTCACACACACAGAGTTATTATGTACCAAGTTAGTTACAGCTATGCAACAAAAAAAGTAAAAGGAAGAAAAAAGGAATGATTTAATCTTTTAATTTTTATAGACAACACAATTACGGTTTAACTGTGACCTTAAGTCTAATTGATTATATTCTACTCTGTTCAGTTATTAATGATCATATGGGTAACTATTTACAAAACTTTTCCAAGCTTTTTTGTATGTATTTAGTACAGGGTCTCACCATGTAGATCGGACTCATAGTGATCCTCCTGTTTATAGCCTCCCAAGAGCTGGGATTACAGGAGCGCCCCAACACGCCAAGTCTCAATTGCCATCTCAGTGTGCCCTGGGGGCAGGGCCAGCTCAGCAGACCCACTTTTCCAAGCTTTGTTTAGGTGTAACTGACAGATAAAAACATTTTTGAATAACAATCCAAGGGTATGTACTTACAGTAAAAAATGAGTAACTGGAGATAGACTGGATAGTTTACTTCATAATATAATGTTGGTAATGCTGAAGTTTGACATTTGCTGAAAGAATACATGTTAAATAATCTCACCACATACAGGGTAACTGAGATAATCAATGTATGTTAGTTTGATTGTATTAGACCTTTCACAGTGTATATTTATCAAATACCACATTACTTTCTTTGAATATATACAGTTTTAAAATTTTTTTTAAAAAACTTGCAGGTATAATCTGGGTGACTACAGTGGAGAGATCATGTCTGAGGTTATGGCACAGAGACAGCCAATGAAGCCTACTTACGCTGTCCCCATCATTCCTATTACTAATAGCAGTCAATTTAAACATCAGGAAGTAATGGATGTAAAGGAGTTTAAAGTTAATAAGGTAATGAAAGTTTTTGTGACAAAAGTATCTGATAATGAAGTAGTATTTTATCATTAGAATGAGAGTTTAAAAATACATATAAAATTTACCATGAAATATGATGTAAAACTGTAATGCTAGAAATTTGAGGGATCAGAGGTCTAGGTCAATGGCACAGTGCCTGCCTGGCAAGCATGAGGTTGTCCTGAGTTTGATTTCTGGTACCCACTCCCCCCAAAAGAAATTTTTTATTTCCTTATCTTATAAAAGGTAGATTTTGGGGCCGGGGAGATGGTCAGTAGGATAAGCACTTGACTGGCAAATACAAGGATCTGAGTTCAATCCCCGGTTCCGCAAAAAAAAAAAAAAAAAAAAAAGGTAGATTTTATACTATGATAAAAGGAATATTTTAATAGTTGCAGGATTATGAGCTGTTGAAAGAATGGAAACAAAATATGTAGGGGTTAGGGAGAAGAATTTGAAATCCTTGGTAGTGTAGCGTAGATTTGTCCTTTGTGAACATATTAGTGTGCAAGTGGAATAAAAATATAAAGGTAATTTAATAGTTTGTAGTATAGGTAGTATTTTAGAAATGGGAGTAGTTTTGACAAATTCCTCTGTAACCAAATTGTGAAGAATAAATTGGTTAAAAAAAAAAAAGAATAAATTGGTTAAGGAAAATAAAATTAGTGAAGGGAAACAAAAACAAGGCTGTTGACAGCTTTTTGAAAAATGTTCATATGGGGAATACCATTTCTTTTTCGTATGAAATTTATCATGAAACTTAAGATTCTTCTAGTTTAGTCTGGGGGATATAAGTGAGTCTGCCATCAGTTTTGTTGTCTTCTCTAGATTATTTAATATAATGTGTCTACAGGGTTTTTTTGTTTGTTTTTTTACTGTGGTCATACAGGACTTCAAATTTGACTGCACAGCTTGTCATGCCAATTAGTTACATCTGTATCCTCAACTTTTTTCCTGTCATTTAGAGCAATGCCAAAGACCATTTTATGAAAAAAAAAAAAAAAAAAAATAGGTATTATTTTAAAAATTGTTGGGGAAGTTAGTCAAAAAAGTCACTGTCTTTGATAATCCAGAGAGTTATGATCATGCTCCAAAATGTTATCATTCACAAACATATTTAAATTTTATACTTAATCTAATTTTGCTAAGTATTGTCCCCCTCTCTGAACTCTGTATGCCTGTAACTAGCTTTTGACTCCAGGCTGTCATGTTGCTCTTCCCTTTTGTGGCCTTTGCTTGAGTTACAGTGGCCAAAATGAAGTTCAATCCTTTTGTGACTTGGGACTGAAGTGAAAACCATGAAAGGCATTTTAGTGCACCTTCCCATGTTCACAAGAGAATTAATATCTTCCCCTCTTTCCAAAGAGCTGAGACAGAAATAGTGTCAGATCTATGCCCATTTGAAAGGACAATGAGGTTCAGGTTTTGTGCAGACCCAGATTGGCAGAGTAGTCCCAGTTTATAGAAAAAAATGGGTCATCTACATTGAAAAAATGGGTGTAGTGGGAAAAGGCAAATGGCAAATTACGGGGGGGAGGGGGAAAGGCCAAAAAAAGGCAAATGGCACATCTCTCCATGTGAACATTCACCCCACAAGGTGGTTATTACCAGGCTAAAACTAGACAAAGACCACAAAGATTCTGAAACAGAAAGCCAAGTCTCACCAAGTAGGAAAGGAAAAGGGTAAATACAGGGAGGATACAATTGAGAAGATGCGGGAATAATGTCCTCCTATGTGCAACTTTTAATTGAAAACTACTGGAGCCGGGGAGATAGCTCAGTAGAATAAGTGCTTGCCTGGCAAGCCAAGGGCCTGAGTTCAATCCCTGGTTCCACCAAAAAAAAAAAAAAAAGGTGCAGTAATTCACAGATAGTAGAGACCTACTCAATATTGGCTAAAATGCAAGAATAAATAAAAAATAAAAAACTGCTAAAGTGAAAAAAAGGCTATCCTGTTGATACCATAGACTTGTACAGATACCTTAATAGTTACCTGTTTAAAATATTTTTATTATTTTTTAATTTTTATTTGGGACAGGGTGTACAGTCCTGTTAGCAGCCTCCCAAGTGCTGGGATTACAGACACATGCCACCACACCCAGTCCTAATTGCTGTCTCATTGGGGGCAGCACAGCAGGTCAGGGGATCAAACTCCTGGCCCCTGCATCTGCCCAAGCAGGTGCTTTAATCCACCTTTTTTTAATACTTAACTTTGTAAACTAAATGCCATAATGTACCTTACAATTTAATAGTTAAACATGAATACTTAGTGTACTTAACATAAATATTTGGCGTATTTATACAGATGTGATACAGTTTTTGCCTTCATTTTTTTCTTCCTAACAAATACTTCTACCTTAGTTTTCCTTTCCTGTTGCCTAGGTATCAAATGCATACTTCTAGCCATTGCCATCCTTTGGCGTGTGCTGTGTTCTGTCAATTCAGTCATACAATGATTTGTTTCTGCTTGAGAGCAAAGACTAAACACATACTCTCTCTCCGAATTTGTATAGAAAATTTAAAATTAGAGGAGCCACTGTTAAAATACCAATTGAATTAAAGATTTTTTTTTCTTTCTGTATTTAAGACAGGGTCTACAGTGTCTATAGGGTCTTCTCAGGACATAGATCTGACTCCATAATGATTCTCCTGTGTTCAGCCTCCCAAGTGCTGGGATTACGGGTGCGTTCCACCACACCCAGTCTCAGTTACCGTCTCAGCACACCCGGCGGACAGGGCTGGCATGGCACACCAGGAATTGAACCTCAGCTCCTGTGCTCTGCCTAAGAAGGCACTTTAGTCTGACTGCACTATCAGGCCAGCCCACTTTACAGAATTTTAGAAGCTGGAGAACTTGCTGTCTCTCCTTTAACTTCATTTGAATTTAATAGTCCATAAAACTGTGTAAGGGCCAGCCAATAGCTCAGCAGATTAAAGCACCTGCAAGCAGGGGCAGGAGCCAGGGGATCAATCTCCCGCCTACCATGACAGCCCCGCCCCCGGTTTACACTGAGAAAGCAATTGAGACTGGGCGTGTTGGCGCATGCCTGTAATCCCAGCCCTTGGGCGGCTGTAAACAGGAGGATCACTACGAGTCCGATCTAGTAGTGAGACCCTTCGTTAAAATACAAAAAAGAAAGAAAAAAAAAAGTGCATAAATTGTAGGACATACTCATGTTTTAGGTCAGCTTCTCTGTAACCTTAAAATGTAAGGTGTCAGACCTGACTATTGTGTCTGTTAATATAAATGCCTTAATTATACCAACAAACTTACTTATTTTGGTACCAGGACTTAACTCAGGATCTTGTGCTTGCCAGGCAGGTGCTGCTGTACCACTGAACTATATTCCCTGCCTTATTCTTTTAAAATTACCCTTAAGCCTGCCGTGCTTGCCCCACCCCAGGGACACACTGTGAGACAGCAATTGAGACTGGGCATGGTGGTGTGTGCCTGTAATCCCAGCACTTGGGAGGCTGTAAACAGAATCACTACAAGCCCGATCCAGTAGTGAGACCCTGAACACCCTGTAGACCCTTCCCTAAAATACAAATAAGTAAATAAATAAAAATAAAATAAAATTACCCTCAAAACTTTAAATTGTAGGATGTGGTTTCTGGTGTATAATTAATTCATCTTTGTTGCAGCAAGATAAAGCCGATATTATTCGACCGAAACGGAAATATGAGAAGAAGCCCAAAGTCTTACCATCGTCTGCTGCTGCTACTCCTCAACAGACGAGTCCTGCTGCACTGCCAGTCTTTAATGCTAAAGATTTAAATCAGTATGACTTTCCCAGCTCAGATGAAGAACCTCTCTCCCAGGTACATAGAATAAAGGCCTTTATGAATATAGAAGAAGAATACAGGAAATCACACATTTGACCTATTTCTTATATTTTATTAAAGGTTTTGTCTGGCTCTTCAGAAGCTGAGGAAGAGAATGATCCTGATGGACCTTTTGCTTTCCGTAGGAAAGCAGGCTGTCAGTACTATGCTGTAAGTTTTAGGCTATTTTTGTACATAAACTATTTGCTTTTAATGCCAAAATAAAATAATGCCTTTGGATTTCTTTTTAAGCCTCACTTAGACCAAACTGGCAACTGGCCTTGGACTAGTCCTAAAGATGGAGGATTAGGAGATGTGCGATATAGATACTGCTTAACTACTCTCACTGTACCCCAAAGGTGTATTGGATTTGCACGGAGACGGGTTGGGCGCGGTGGAAGGTAAGGTATTTCTATATTACTACTGTAGGGATATTTTAGGTGGAGGACTAATCAGATTTAAAGTTTAACAAACATACTAATTCCTGTTTGCTACTCTTGACTAATTTGTCATTTTGCTACTTGATCCTTAAGCAGCCTTTTAATAGACACAAAGTATAACTGTAATACATCCTAGGTAGATGATCTTTGCTTTCTTCCCAAAGTTGAAACCCTCACATAAATTACCATGGGATACAATTATTTAAAAATGCAATAGAGGAAGACAAATACAAGTCATGTTAGCACACATAGGTTAGACTACTTAAAAAGTTCCTTCTGGGAGAAAGGATTAAGTATACCACCAGTTGTCACATTAAATAAAGTAATAAGTTAACTTTTCAGTGACCGTGATCTATGCATGACCCAGTTTGTCAGGATCTAATTATTCTTCCTGTGCATGGTAGAGCTCCGGACATGGTGGCACACACCTGTAATCCCAGCGCTGGGGAGGCTAAAAACCAGAGGATCACTGTGAATCCAGGCTGCGTAGTGAGACCCTGTATTAAATACACTAAATGCCTTTATATAAGCATATGTGGAAAGAAAAAGCAATTATTGAACATACTAAAAAACAAAGTAAAAATGTTTGGTTGAAAAATAATTTGATGGGGCTGGGGAAATGGCTTAGTGGAATAAGCACTTCCCCGGCAAGCGCAAGGGCCTGAGTTCAATCCCTGGTTCCGCCAAAGAGAAAAAAAAAAAGAAAAAATTCGATTTAAATAACCATCAGAATTTGAAATTTTGGAATAAAAGATCCCAAAGCTAAAAGAATCAACTTCATAGTATTTAAATACTCAATATGCTTTTATTCCACTTCAGAAGTTAGGAGAAGAAAGATGTGTCTTTTTTAATTTAATCTTTGAATAGCTGTTTTAAATGAAGTTTTTTATCTTATTTTTAATAGGGTCTTATTGGACAGAGCTCATTCAGACTATGACAGTATATTTCGCCATCTGGATTTGGAAATGCTTTCCTCAACACAACATTCTCCAGTCAATCAATTTGCCAATACCTCAGAAACAAATACCTCGGACAAATCTTTCTCTAAAGACCTCAGTCAGATACTAGTCAATATCAAATCATGTAGATGGCGGCATTTTAGGCCTCGGACACCATCACTACATGACGGTGACAATGATGAACTCTCCAGTAGAAAATTATATAGGAGTATAAATCGAACAGGCACAGCACAACCTGGGACCCAGACATGCAGTACCTCTACACAAAGTAAAAGTAGCAGCAGTTCAACACACTTTGGTATGTTTATTTGTGATGCATGTGTCTATAGAATTACTGGGTTTGTCCATATTTTTGAGTATATGGTCTGTTACATTTGTGGCTAATAGTACTATTTATTTGGATACTATTGCTATATGAGTTTGTGTATATCTCTTCATTTAAGTATACCCATATACAGAAGTGGTTTGTTATTATTTAATATGTGATGTTTGTTTCCTGTGTGCAGTTCATGAAAATTTATCAGTTACCTTGTCAAACAATATAAAAAGAAAATGGACCATACATTTTTAATATTTTATACTTAAACGCTTCTAGTCTTTATATAATCTGATTAAGCATAGACTAACAAGTCAGTAAGTCTATATAACTTACACCATAATTCAGAATAATGTATAAGAGAAACTAAGTTTCAAGAGAGAAAGGTTGTTTTAATATATCTGAAAACATTTTAGATAAGAGCAATTTACATTCACATTGTATGAGATGTATATAAAATAGAAACTTTTTTGAGCTTTTTGTTTTAATATACATGAATATACTATTTGAGGTATATAGATTATAGAAACTCACTGTTGAAACATGTTATTACAGAATTTTTTAAGGCAACAACTACAGATTTTCTTAAAGTACTCTAAGGGTATTTATTTCTGTGGTCACCTGTTAAAATTACAGGTAAACTGCCTTACAGATATGAAGTTCTGCTCTTAAAGGCCTACAGGAATATTCCATAAACTAATTCCTTTAGTGGTTACAAAAAAATACTTCTATGAAATGTCTTTCAGTTTATGAGAAAAATAATCACATTTCAGAAATAATCTCAAAGATAAGCGGTTTTTCTGAATCCTAACAGATTATTAGTAATTCTGTTGATTTTAATGTCTTTATCATCAAGAGCTAGTTTCTTTCTGCTATATAGTCTTTAAAAGTCAAAGTGAAGAATTTTTCAGTGTGAAGACTTACATACTGTATGAGGACAGAGACTTTAAAAATATAAACTTGAAATTGTTTTCTTTTGATAATTAAGCTCTTAATTCTTTTTTTTTTTAATTTTTTTTTTATTTATTTGAGAGAGAGAGTGTGTGTGTGTGGTGTGTGTGTGTGTGGCCAGCTCAGCCCACCAGGGGGCGGGGCTGGCTGGCATGTGGTGCTGGGGGATTGAACCGCGGTCCCTGATGCTTTGCTAAGCTTGTTCTAAGTAGGTGCTTTAGACCACTGAGCCATCTCTCCAGCCCTCTTAATTCTTTATATAGTTGTTTAAGACTCTTGGAAAAATAGCCATGTTCCATCAATCCATATCTTCTCTCTCCTCAGGATAGAGAACTTGAAGTGTACTAACTATTCTAAGAGTATTAGTCTTTTTTATTTTATTTTTTATGGTCTTTTAAAATTTAATTATTTTTGCTTAGAAAGTAGGCATTCAATATATATTGTAAAATGTTTTTGATGTGTTTATGAGGAATATTAAAAGGTGACCATTACCAAAGTTTAGCTGCAAGGACATTTTTAGTAATGTTTTTAGTCCTTGTAATTTTTCTTCTTAGTCATTTCTTTTGTTGTATGTACACTTCCTTTTATATATGGGCTTACTAGCTTTTTCTGTTGCATTTAGTTTTTAATTTTCTCTTAAATTTTGTTAGATTTTCTCATACATTTTGTAAATAGATACCTAATCTATGGCAATACTATTCTTTTGTAACTGTGAACATTCCAGAGACTAATGCTTTTCTCTTTATTTTGTGCAAATTTTAGTGTAATCATATATGAGCATTTAGCTTAAATTCAACTATAGATCCTTGTGGTGGGGGGCAGAAAATTTAGCTGTTCACATGTTGCACCAGATTATAAATTTATTTCTTCTAAAAGCATGTGTTCTCCAGAATGAGCCTAGACTGGAAGAAGTTTCTCCTCTGTATTCTTACAGGGTCCCTTGTCTGTTTTGTTATTTCATTCATGCATTAAGAATCTCACAGCTCTCGTTATAATTGTAGTATAAATATTTTTTCCACATAACATGGCCCCAGATACAAACCAGACTCCTTCATCTAGTGCCTAGATACTTTAGTGATATCAGGTGACAGTATTAATACCAAAAAAGCCCTGATAAAGTGTGAACGTGTGATGCCAAAGTCAACATTGATGAAAAGCAAGGGTTTCCATCAGGACACTTTTCAAGGGTTCTCTCCAGAGGGAGATGGGGGGGAGGGGGACTGACTTAACCTGTCCTGGGGGTAGGGCTGGCGCAACATGCGCCAGGATTGAACTGAATGCTTGCCTAAGCTTGCCTAAGCAGGCACTTTAGACCACTAAGCTATCTCGTTTCTGTTTTGTGTTTTGTTTTGTTTTGAGGTGGGGGTAACCAGAAATTAAACCCAGGATCATGTGCTTGTCAGACAGGCTGTATCTCCCTTCCTTCCTTCCTTCCTTCCTTCCTTCCTTCCTTCCTTCTTTTCTTTCTGTCCGTCCGTCCGGTACAGGGTCTTGCTATGCAGCTTGGACTCATAGTGATCCTCCTGTCTCAGCCTCCCCAGCACTAGGATTACAGGTGTGTACCACCACACCCGGTTTCGATGGCCAGCATTCCTGGGCTGGTGGCATGTGGTACCTGGGGTTGAGCCCAGGTCCTTGGGCATTTAGACCGCCAAGCTATCTCCCCAGCCCTATATCACCATTTTAAGGCTTAATTTTGACTATACTGATTTAATCAGTATATTAAATACAAGTCACTTGATCTGTTTTCTGCTGCTTGAGCCAAGTATGTGGGTTATAATGTAGCCATTTTTTGGTTATTCAATTGTTGTAAAGTTTATACCTAAAAGTAACCTAATTATTCCTCTTGGTTGACTCCCTTTTCTAAATAATCGTTTATGAGGTCTTACCATCATTTTAAAATAGGATATTCTGAATGAAAATACCAGAGGACGGGTGTGGTAGTGCACACCTATAATCCCAGTACTCAGCAGGCTGAGGCTGGAATATTGTGAGTTCCGAGTTGGAGACCAGCCTGGGCTACAAAGTGAGCTCAAGGTGAGTGTAAACTCCATAGTGAGACCCTTTCTTAGACAAAAGAAAAGAAAAATACCAAAATTTTGCTTATTTTAGTGAACTGCATGAATTTTGACCCAATTTTTATAGCTTCCATTTTAAGTGCTCAGAAGCATTTTTGCTTGCTTCTCAGTTTGACCTTTGTGCAAAGTTGTGTAAACAGAAATGTGCCCAGAGGAGTCACATGGGGTAGCCTCCTTCAGCTGGTGTTGGTTACTGAGCTTGCTTCTGTGCAGTAGAGTTTTGGTGTTGACGGTCTGCAGAAGACCTATTGAATGTATAGCTAGAATCTCCAGGGCTAGATTTTCATACTAAAAGATTAACTATTTTTAAAGATTGTTAATTAATACGTGATTTGGAGAGTTTCCAAATGTAGTCCTTTAGTTTTTAAAATCCACATTAACACTTTTGAAACTTTAGTATTTGTTCATTGGCTGAGTATTCTGTGTGTTTGAGTTGGGAGGTAGTAAGTAACAATACTTTATCATTAGAACTTTTACATAAGAGTCCTTGATAAAATTCAGAAAGACTGAAAAAAATGGTTTTTTTAAACCACAATGATATGTTCAGGATTTAAACTCCTAGTGCCAAAGGAAATTTCATCAGCATTTTAAGGATTTTTTTTTGCTCCGAATGCCTTCAGGGCAGGTTTGGCTGACTTCAGTTGTGGGGATCGAACCACAGCAACCTGAGCCTGACTGCTTTGTTGAAGCAGCCACTTAAAGAACTGAGCTAAAGGGCAGGCCCCCATCATCAGCATTTTAAGTCAATTTTCTAAGCTTATATATATGCTAAAGATATGGTTTATTATCATAAGTGAGCAGAAGATCTGTAGCTAAGAATGTGTTATCTAAATTTCTGTAAAACGATACAAGCTGGCTTATAACTTAATTTTATTCTTACTTTGGAAATGAAATTAAATTTGAGCAATGAACATTTTAATTGTTAATATTGTAAACACGCGGGACTCTAATCTTTATTTAAATATGTAAAAAAAACTGAGAAATTTTCGGTGTAGAAAGTGGGTTTATCATTAGCATCAGTGGGAGTCTGGAGCAGCGTCTGTGGTAACATGTGCTAGTATTTCTGCAGCTGCACAGTGATACGCAAGAGTTCCATACTCAGAGACCCATTTGACTACAAATAATTTCATAAGTCAAGTCACCTATGGTCAGAAGAACAACTACAAATGCAGGTTTTCAAATTGGATTTCTATCAGTGGACTAAACACCTGCTTTGGCAAATACAGAGTCCAGGGCTTGATCCCTGGCACCACATGCCATGCCGGCCCTGCCCCCAGGGCACACTGAGCCAGCAACTAAGTCCAAACATGGTGGCACACACCTGTGATCCCAGTGCTGGGGAGCCTGAAAACAGGAGGAGCACTCGAAGTCCGAGCTGTGTAGTGAGACCCTGTACCAAATACCTAAAATTTAAAAAAAAAAAAAAAAAACATTTCTAGGTGACGCATAAGGGCTCATGGACCTTGTCAGTTCAAGCTCACTAATTAGGAACTACATGGACTCATCTTTAAATTTTGTGTTTATTTAAAGTTACCTTCTTCCTATACATTAACGCTCTGCCTATGGACTAAAAAGAATGAAAGAAATTTCTAATTTGAGGTATCTTTTAAAATAGATTTTGGGAGTTGTTTCTTCCTTGTTTTGTTTGTTTTATGGTACTGAAGATTGAACCCCAGGGGTACCGCGTCACTGGACTACACTCCAGATTATTTTTATTGTTGTTATACAAGGTAAATCATAGCCATATTTTTATAATTTTTACACAAGTTAGTGTTGCCCAGGCTGGACTTGAATTCATAATCCTCCTACTTCATCTTTGAGTGCCTGGTAGTAAGTGTGAGAAACACACTGATGTTATTCCTTACCAGGTATACTAGATTCCATCTCCCTCCAACCCCCCGAATTTTGGAATTATTTCTTTAGGCACCTGTGCCTCCCACCCTGCTCCCTTAAGGATTTATAGAGTCAGGTTACTTTATACAAATTTCTGACCCAGGGAATTGGTTATTGAGAGCTGCAGAAACAAAGGTGGTTTCTGGCTTCTGCCTAAATACTTCTAATGAGGGAACATTCAACAGCTTTGCAGATCAAGTTGTTACTAAGTTTGGGGATCTTGGTTAGAAAATTTTCTATATATTCAACTTTTTAAAAGCTACCTCCTGGGGCTGGTGAGATGGCTCAATGGTCTAAAGCACCTACTTAGAACAAGCTTTGCAAAGCATAGGGACCGCGGTTCGATCCCCCAGCACCACATGCCAGCCAGCCCCGCCCCCTGGTGGGCTGAGCTGGCCACACACACGCACATGAATAAATAAAATTTAAAAAAAAAGCTACCTCCTGAAATTTAAACTTTCAGGTTCATGTTTTACCTGAGGAAGCAGACTAAGACTGATGTCCAGTGTTATCTTGCAGATGTGAAAGTCTTGTTATGCTTCTTTCCCTGGTCCCAGTTCCCATTGAACATTCTCCACTTTTAATCATAGCCACCCTTGACTCTTGCCCCCATATAGATTCTTGTCAGATGTTATGTATATGAGGATTATAAAGTACTTGACTCACAATGTTTGACTGTCTAGTAAATGTAAAATATATTACATGTAAAACATTTTTTGTCTATTTTTAAACTCTTGGTTCCCTTCCTTCTATTACTGAGTATCTGTGACTTCCTGTGGAAAGTTTTTTGATCTCTACTGAGATTATAGAGGAAAATCTCTAAGGATCCCTCCTGATCTGTTTGTTTAATTCTGAGTAATGGTTCTGTTCTAGGTTGGTTATATGTCTCTAATAACATCTTGCCCATCTTTATATGACTTACAAATTTAACTATGCTAAATTTGGAGGTGGATTTTAACAAAAGCTTTGTGCTTTGATATCTAGGTCCATTTCATAGAGATTTAGAGAGATGTCATTATTGTCTTCCATTTAGTGTGTGATTGCACTTTTGAATTATAGTGATATCACGATCTTGAGTATTCAGTTTTCTAAATAAATAATAGTGAAAAACTTAGTTCAGATTGTATTTGCTTGTTATTATCTAGCCCAAGCTACACATCTTTCTTTTGGACTGGAATCTGATAGGATTGAAGGAATTTTTTAAACTTAGTACCTCATATCTGGGAAAAAAAAAAATGTTAGCGATCACATGATTTAATTCCTCACATTTAAATAAAGATACCAAGCCACAAAATGTTAACTTGCTCAGAAATGCTCAGCTGTTTATGATAAAGAGCTGAGGACTCAAATGTCAAGGTTTCTTAGTCCCTGTCTATGGTTTTTATACCTTCACTACCATTTGAAGTGTTGCTCTTACTTTTCTGTTCGTGGTGGTGAACTGAACCTACTGCACATGTGCCACAGTAGTCTGTATTATTGAAAGTTGTAGGGCTGGATAGATAGCTTCGTGAACTAAGAATCTGCTTAGGCAAGCACAGAGGCCAGGATTTGATCCCTGACACCGCATGCTGTGCCGACCCCATCCCTGAGTACATTGAGCTGGCAATGGAGCCTGGGCATGGTGGCACACACCTGTAATCCCAGCACTAAGAAGGCTGAAAATAGGATCACTACAAGTCAAAGCTATGTAGTGAGACCCTGCGCACGCACGCGCACACACAGACACACAAGCAAAGAAGTTCTAAAAGGTTTGCTGTCATTCTTCTCAAACATTTCCCAAAAACATTCAGGTAAAATTTCATAACTAGATTCTGTACATAGTTAAGCAGTATCCAAGAAATAGGCTAACTTAAACTAAACATAGTCACCCACCTGCTTATCACCATTGGTGGGCCTGAATGGTTGTAAAACTTACTTTTCTTTAAGTCAATATTTTTACTTTTGCATGCATTTTGAAATGTTAAACAGATCAGCATCTTTAGTATAATTACCAAAACCATATATTTAAAAGAATGGAATTGAAGGGGCTGGTGAGATGGCTCAGTGGTCTAGAGCACCTACTTAGAACAAGCTTAGCAAAGCAAAGGGACCCTGGTTCAATCCCCCAGCACCACAAGCCAGCCAGCCCCGCCCCCTGGTGGGCTGAACTGGCCACACACACACACACACACAAAATTTAAAAAAAAATGGAATTGAAAAATAAAATATGTCAATAGAAATAAAGTAGGTAGATTTAAAAAATGAACACTGATTTAAATGCTGGTCGAACTTTTATTTCTAAATTTGAATTAGAAGTTACCAATTGCTAAAAAACAATTGACCACTCTGATTTATACCAAGATGTTAAATACAGAAAATATATTTGAAACCTTGTTCAAAATTGATATCCACTAATAATCACTAAATTTTTTATTAAGACAGCACCAAAATTCTACAAGAATATTTTCATTCATATAAATGGAGTTTTATATATCGGTCTTCAGTGAACATTAAATTATTGTTAAATAATTATTAGTAAATACCTTATGACCTAAATTTCAAAAAATTCCATTTTAAAAAAAAATGTACTGAGCATTCCTTACTTAGAAAAGTTAAGGCTGTGGCAGCATATTCAAACTTGAGAAGTTAAAAGTGTAAATCTCAAAAACACTAGTCGAAGTAAGAAATCAAGAAACTTAAGGTTTAAGTAATTAATTTTTTATTTTATTTTTTTACCTGTAAGGAAAAAATAAGGTTGACTGGGGCTGGTGAGATGGCTCAGTGGTCTGAAGCACCTACCTAGACCAAGCTAAGCTGAGCAAAGCACAGGGACCACGGTTCAATCCCCCAGCACCACATGCCAGCCAGCCCGCTCCTTGGTGAGCTGAGCTGGCCACACACACAAAATAAATAAATAAATAAATAAATAAATAAATAAATAAATAAATAAATATTTAAAAAAAAATAAGGTTGACTGTGAATATCCTCACAGCGCAGTATTCATTTCTATAGATTTTCCTAGAGGTTTTGACCCAGCACATTTCTGTTACATAACAGAAAATGGCTGTATGAACATAACACTTGTATTTCAGTGTTTAGGGATCATCTCCTAATATTAAGAATACCATCCTAACATCTTGCCTGTATAATTCAGGTCCCTGGATTACAAAAATAGAAAGAAAAGGAACTCATCAAAAGACAGGTATCAGTTAAACAGACTTGCAAAACACACGCATAAGAAAATCATTAGCAAATTTTTCCAATAAGAAATAACTTTTTTGCTCTTACAAATGAAGAACTTAGTTCAGATCAAGTGTGAGGGCTACTGAGGCATTAATAACTTAAACTTTCTTACATATTTCACAATTTTCTGATTCAAAATACACAGTGGGATTTGTTACCTAAATACTTCCTAATTGTACGAGGCAGAAACAGTATAATGGGAGATAGTTAAAAGTAAAAATTATAAAACTTGAAGTATTTAACTAAAAATTATCAGTAGTTAAGCAACAAGTGAGGTGACAATATTTTGAAAACAGCCAAGTTTAGATTGAGGAAATTTGCATGATTTATAGATTCCCTGGTATTCAGGGATGCACGATAACCTTTTTGTTTTAAAATAATTCTAACTCAGACATCACAGGCTTCTTAAAGAAGCCTTTAAAGTCAGATGTATTGTGATTGTATGTGCTATTTTTTTTTTCTTTTTTTAAATTGGCAAAAAGGAAAAGCAAACGGTTTCCTTTTTTAAAACTGCACACACTTTTTGGGGGGTAATAAATGAACATTTTTTTGTTTGTTTTTTTTAGAACTGAGCTCTCCATAGACAAACATAAGTAGCATAACACAGTGTCTTTCCTCAGACATCATTCTGTACAGTAAATCAACATAAACAACTCCGTTCTTATTGACTGGATTTTTTCCAGGTGGGTTAATTGAGTGGGGAAAAGTAATTGACCTTAACATTGGAGCCTCTTTTCTTCCTGTTAAACTTATAAAGGATGAGTTCTTAAAAAAAATAGGGGGTAATAAACCAAGTCTTATCTTTCATACAGAGGAAATCTTTGTAATGACTAACAATAGAAAATACATAGTAGTATTTATACACAGAACTATTAGGAATCATCTGAATGCTTTGGGAGAATAAAATGGATAAAATGACACCAAATGGTAATTAACAAATTCTTCTCAAGCTCAGTGCAAAACTGAATTCTAAATCTATGGATTAAAAAAAGCTGAGAACTTTTTCTACACTGTCTAGCACAAGTGTCACAGCTTTACAAAAATAATGGTGTTGAAATTGGGGAAGAGAGCTGTTTGCTTTTCTATTTTAATTTAGGGAGATTACTTTGAATTTTCATTAAATTAAAGATACTTTGGTTAAATGTAGGAATGCTGAAATTTTCACTTGAAAGTGATCTTTAGTAGAATCAGAAGTCTATCAAATGCTTTAATTTTGCACACTTTTAATATGGGATTTGTTTTCACAATGTAATATGTATGTAATGTCTGTGCTTTTTTACTTAAAAAGTGTTTCCTTGTTTCATGTTCAGCATTTACAGCCGAACAATACCAGCAACATCAACAGCAACTGGCACTAATGCAGAAACAGCAGCTTGCACAAATACAGCAACAGCAAGCAAATAGTAATTCCTCCACCAACACTTCACAGGTGAGGGATTTGTCTGTCTTATGATTATCCCTCATTGTTTCCCACCAGAGTTCATCTCTAATTACCAACTGTTGTCATAGAACCTTGCATCTAACCAGCAGAAAAGTGGCTTTCGCCTGAATATACAGGGTTTAGAAAGAACATTACAGGTGAGTATGGAAGCTGTCGCCTCTGCTCCCTACTTTAAGCAGTGTTAAAAGCATAGTTGAATGAAATGAAGATGCTGTCTTCTAGTCTGACCTATAGTCTGTTAATGTACCTCTTCTATGTGTAATTCCTTGAAGTTCATTAACTTTAGGCATTTTTTTATTATTGTAATTTCACATAGATTATACTAAAGTAACCTTTTATCCTTGAAAGAGGTCACTCTTGAACCTAAAGCATGACAAATATTTGCCATTTAGATATGTTTAGTACTTAAACACTGAGATTTGTTTCTATAGGGTTCTTGCAGAAAAAAAAATTTCTAAAAATTCAAGAACTCATTTATTTCTAGGATAAGTTGTCATATTTTATTACCTCCATTTATTTCTTAAAAGAGCAAGGCATAGTTATCTCATTATTCCAAAGGAGGCTTTGGGTTTGAGGATATGTGTAGGTCAGATAAACATTTATATATTCTTTTATTCATTATATGTGTAGGCAAATCACTGAAATGTTTTTGCTAGCATATTTCTTGCCCAAAATTTTTTGTTAGACATTTGTGTTCTCCACAGTATAAAAGGCTTATTATGGTAACTCCTGTGTACATGGTCTATATTATCACATAGGAAAGTCAAAATTCATGACCATTGCCTTAGGTAATTCTCCATCCTCAGTGACTATGACTGTGGAAAGAGATAAAGAGATTTCAGTGGTTTGTCATTTTCATTTATACCTGAGCTGATATTTGGTTAATTTGTATAGCATTACCATTCACTTGAGAGTGAATTGTACTAGTTAGGTTTCTGTATTTCCTTTTTAGGGTTTTGTTTCTAAGACTTTGGATTCTGCTAGTGCTCAATTTGCTGCTTCTGCTTTGATGACATCGGAACAACTGATGGGATTCAAGATGAAGGATGATGTGGTGCTTGGAATTGGGGTGAATGGTGTCCTTCCAGCCTCAGGTAACCATAAAGACATTTAAATTGCTTTGCTTATATTCTGTGTATTATATACTATTAACATATGTATTCATAAATACCAACTGCAAAGTTGCCCATTGTTCACACGCTTCCTCCCTTTTTCTCTGCAGGAGTATACAAGGGCTTACACCTCAGCAGTACTACGCCAACAGCACTTGTCCATACAAGTCCATCAACAGCAGGTTCAACTTTGTTACAGCCTTCAAATATCACACAGACTTCAAGTTCCCACAGTGCACTGAGTCATCAAGTAACTGCTGCCAATTCTGGGACAACTCAGGTTCTGTTTGGGAACAACATTCGATTAACTGTACCTTCCTCGGTTGCCACTGTAAACTCTATTGCCCCCATGCATGCACGACATATACCTAGGACGTTAAGTGCTGTCCCGTCATCTGCCTTAAAGCTGGCTGCCGCAGCAAGCTGTCAAGTCTCCAAGGTCCCATCTTCATCAGTAGATTCCGTTCCAAGGTGAGTACTTTTAAGTGTAAAGTGTTTGAAAAATTATAATTAACAAACCTAGTGCTGCCCGATATTTATGTGTTTGTTTTTCCCTTCCCAGTACTAGGGATCCTACCTATGGCCTTGCTCATACTAAGCAAACTCTGTAGTAATGAATAGCAGCCCCAGCCTTTTTTATGTTTTGAGACAGGGTCTCATTAAGTTGCCCATGCTAACGCTGAACTTGTACCTGCTTTATGCTCTCATATGGCTGGGATTACAGGCTTGTACCACTGAGCCTAACCTCCCTTTATTATTAAAAATATAGAAATTAGGGATAGGGGAGATGGCTCAGTAGAATAAGCACTTGCCTGGCAAGCACAAGGGCCTGAGTTCAACCCCCGGTTCAGCAAAAAGAAAAGAAATTGATTCCTTGTTCAAGACCTAAATAAATGAATGTTGTAATTCAGTATTAGTTGGGAATTAAGACAAATGATATAGTGAATATTGCATATATGATTCATATATTTCTTAGGATAAAAGAATTTTATAGCCTCATTTTTTTCTACCTTTGGATAAAAGGAGTCCTCTTTAGAGAATATTTGTTCATAATTTCTTCCATTGCTTCTTGCATAAATAGCTAAAATTGATAGAACTTGCCATTTACTGGTATGCCAAACTGCTCTTACTAATGTAAATAAAGACTTAACAGTATTCATACCAGATCGGATTTCAATGAATATGTTAGTGGGGGTGCTGGGGATGTGGCTCTGTGGTAGAGATCTTGCCTTGTATGCGTAAGGCCCTGAGTTCAATCCCCAGTACCACCAAAAAAAATTAAATACTTGTGAATTTTTGCTCAGACTCTATTATAAAGTTTTAAATGGTAAT